TCCATGCGTTATTTGAAATGTACAGTAAACACTTGCCGAAAGCGAGAGTTACGTCATTAACACACTTCTCGTGTAGCAAAATCGCATTCCATAAACTTTTTCTAGAAAAAAAAGGGGGTTAGGAATAGCTCAGAATAAAAAAAAAAGAGTGCATAATTTATACAAACTTAACTATTATTGTGATTAAAAGAGGAAAATGAAACGAATGTTAATTGAACGGATTTCTATTACTATTTAATGATACAATTATTTTTTAAATAGCTGGTGAATATTGGTTTGGAGCTATGTCTGACGAAATTCGTTAAATGTTTCGCGGTAGTCAGTGCAAAGTTTTTCTATACCTCTCATAAAGTATCCTCTTCTTTCTTCATTTGGACCAACCTCCATTACAAAATCAGACGATACCTAGACCTTTTTTTAACAATTCGTTTAACTTCTTGTACGTTAAAGGCTCTTTATCTTTTTCATTATCGCTGCTTTCACCATCTGCTAGTGTGGTAAAAAATCATCCAATTTTCCGTTTGTCATTTCACAATCATCATTCTCGACTAATTCCTTGATTTCTCCTCCTTCTGTATCTGAAAATCCTTCGCCGCCTGTTGCTTTTGTCATTTGTATGACTTTCTTGGCTTCATTTTCAGTTGATGGAAATTCTTTAAAACTCTTCTTAACAACTTCTGGGTACTGATGCCAGCAAGCATTCACTGTTGATGAATTCACTTGTTCCTGAGAGTTTAATCATCTCTGCAGTTTTGAATTGCTTCCACAATGCCATTAGTGTGTTATGCTTTCCTTCGTCTAGTGCTTTATTTGTAGAGATGTAAAAATGTCTGACATAACAGGCTTTGAATGTTTCTATGATTTCTTGATCCACTGGTTGGATTAAGATACTGCTGTTCGGTGAAAGGAATAAATTCTCTACATTTGGATGCAATGTTGTGAGGGCTTCAGCACCGTGTCTTGGAGCATTATTGAGAATCAGGAGAACTTTAAAGCTCAGATTTTGCTGTTGTAAGCAATATTTGACTTTTTAATGAATGAATTTTCAAACCAGTTGCTAAAGAAAACTTCCGATGCTTTCAGCGCACCGCGTACAATTGAAATTCTCGCGTTGGACAAATTAAATGGAGACAATTAAGATAATGCGTATCCGCAAAATCGCGTTCCGCATGTTCGCGTTTGGCAACGGTTTACTGTAAGGCATCGCAATAGTAATTCGTCACGAAAGGGAGGATAAAGTAAGCGATATATGTTATTTCCGAAAAGTAAGTACAGTCAAAAGTCGTTAATCCGGACTCGTCGGGACTTCGGCGATTCCGGATTATCGATTTTTCCGGATTATAGATCATCAGTTTAAATCTGGTAAGATGGCATGCAAAAATTACAAAATTAAAAATATGAAACCGTAATTTATGAAATAATGAACAATTATGATCTAAAGGGTATCAAAATTCACAAAAAGAAAAAGCTTAATATTTATTTGTTTACTTTATTAAACATTTCTTTCAATGTAAGTTGTTTAAGTTGATTCGTTTCATGTGATAATACTTTCTCTTTAATTCTATTAAACAGATATAATTTCTTGTTTAGTTACAAAGTTCCGCTGTTCAAGTCCTATAATTTCTGTGTCTAGAATACCGACTAATTTGTCAATCGAAATGCTTTCATTTTCAATAACCTCTCTGTCACTTTCTTCACTAGCGAATTATAATGACGAGGAACTTTATTTAAATCATATCAAAGACGGGGTACATCGAGATGAAATACTACATTTAGTAAGGAATTATAAGCCAAATAAAATAAAAAAATCTGCCCTGAAGATAAGGATAGTGCTGACAGATCAACTTCCAATTCATTGCGCGCCGCGCCCTTCCCCCCCCTTGCCGCAGACCAGCGTGAAATTGATAAACAGATTTCGGATTTCAAAACATACTTTCGCTTTGTAGATCCTTTACATATTAGTAAATATATATCGGAAATTCTATTTGACATAATCGAAAGTTCAAGCTTACTTTTATAAAATTGCTCTAACAGTCTGCAAAAAACAAAAAGCCGGATCCAATTCGAAGATTAAGGAACAACGCAATCTGCAACATTAACTGAATTAGATAATTTTAGCTTAGCTTATACTGTCCGTTATACATTAAACGCGCAGGCGTAAACGTATTATGCGCTTGCGCACACGCATATTCGCAGCCGTAAAGGTCTTACGCGCACGCGTAAACGCCTATGCGACCCGACGCACGCGCAGAAAGTTTGTAGCTTTGACGTCCCGATAATAGATCCTTCCGGATTATGGGTGTCCGAATTAAAGACTTTTGACTGTATTCGACAACATCATATTTTTTAGCATTATAAGCGTCCATACGTTAAAAGTGTCGTTAAAATGTGAAGCTAAGTTACAAGCGTTATATGAGTTATTATAAAAGTAATACACAGCAAAAGTGAACATAAATTATAAGCTGCATACGTTATTGTCCGAAAAGCAAACATTCGTCTATTATATTTTTTAGCTTTACAAGCTCCATTCGTTATTTGAAAAGTGACACACCGGAAAATGATTCCACGCATATAAGGCAAGTTATAAACATTATCAGCGATACACGTAATCGTACGAAAAGCTAACATTCAAAAATATATTTTTAGCGTTATGAGCGTTATAAAAATAAGTTGCACATCATAAAGTCAGTATACGTAAAAGCTTGTTATTTGAAGAGTGATACACCGCAAAAGCGAGGATAAGAGTTATATGCGTTATAAGCAAGGGGTCTCAAACTCAAGTTGTGTGCGGGTCGAATGCACGATCTGAAAACAGCTAATGGGCCATTCTCCCCCTTTAACTAAATGAAAATATTTTACCAATAAAATTTAAAAAAAAAAAATTAACTATTTTTAAATTACTAAATATTTATCAAAACACACATAAACAACACGTAAACAATAATAATAATATCGCAAAATTCTAATCTATATTTATTTTCTATCAGAAATGTAAAGTTTGGTACCTGCGAGACATTTCTGTTTGTTACGAAATTGTTATTCAAATGTTACAACTATCTTAACACAATAACAATGTTAATATAATACAATAAACATGTCACAGCTATCCAAAAAATTCTAACATGTTCATTCAATAATTTACATTATTTAAACTAAAACAAATTATGAAAACTTTCGAAGTTTTCAAAGTAAATTTTGCAAGGGGCACAAAACTTGAGAATGAATAACGACAGCCCAATCTCTTTCTCTTGTTCATTAAATTTTTCTTCGACGCATAACTAAAAATACAAATGCTTGTGTGTAAATAATTATAAACTTTGTTTCTTATTTCAGCTTGATACTGGATGGCGTTTTGGTTCTGATACAGTTTGTAACCCAGAGAACAAATTACTGAGAAATATCTTCACGGATTGTAGATGTTCGTCCGTCAATCCGATTCTTTGCTTATCAGTTTTTGATATATATAAAAAAATCTGATGTGTACACCACATGACTTTCTTGTACGGAATATTAAATTATACGTATTTTTCTTGCATTTCATTTAAACTTATTGGATTGAATTAAATCTACTTCGTCGACAACGCATAAACCACAATAGAATAAATGCACTCTTTAAAATACCATTAAAACCTTTAAATCTTTTTACCATAGCGACACTCTGGCGCTAGGTTCACTTAATATTTCGTTCATATTATAACTCAGAATGCACAAATTTACATCATTTGAAGAATTATCTTATCATAACCACATGTTCTATTAAAATACTATAATAAAGCTAGAATGATGTATAAAAGAAATTAAGAAAACAAGCAAAAATGAAACAGTTTTTCACAGACGACTTAATATTTCTCATTCAATTAATTCCGTTCTCACTTCGCGACAAGGTAAAAATACATAAAAACTCAAAATATCTGTATTAAAAATTACGAAGTAAATCTTCAACACTTATTTCCTCGAAAAAATTCCAGAAAGGATTAAGCATGATTTAATTCGCGGTAATAAATGAAGGCGTTATTTTTGTTGTTGCGGAGCTTAGTCTCTCTAGATTGACAACAAATTTACTATTCTGCTGTTTCAAATGAAAACAAATATGTCCGCCATGTTTTTCAAAACTTAACCGCACTTAAACAGCTTTTAAATTGTTGAAAATTGTACAAATATTGCTTCCAGATTTACGAAAGGCATAAAAACCTTAACCGGAAGATAAGAACAACATAATTCAATCATTTTTAAATCAAAAAACGTACAATTTACAAACATATAAGAGTAAACAAACTGAGATCACTATGCCGAGTAACAGAGTGGATATATATATAAATATATTTATATACGTTTGGTGCGGCCGATTGCAACCAAAATACGAGGTGCACATCTACATGTTACAGCAGTCCTATATACAAAATTTCAACGTTTCTGAGGCTACTCGTTTTAGAGTTATGCGAGATACGTTCGTACGTACGTACATATGTTCGTACAGAAGCCACGAAAATTTCTCTTCAGAATTCATTTTAAACAGTTTTATAATATTTTTGGAGGAAAAGAGTCTTTTAATCTGTCCTTAAGTACAGATGTCACGCAAAAATATCATTAAATTGCATTTGATAGCGTTAAAAATGGATATTTCCGTTGAAATATGCTGCCTGAAACTCTTCGCGATTACAATACTTCCTTTTTACTTTGTACAAGGAAATAAAAAAGGGCTGTTCACATACAAATGATATTATTCTTTTGCAAAGCATTCCCAAGCGATTATTCTTTTTGCAAATATTCGCAGGTAAATTTATTTAATTTTTTACAGAAAGTATGAATAAAAGACACCACCATCTGTATCTTAAAAATCTTAACATAAGATTTACATCACTCTGTAAATTAATTAGTTCCATTTATAGATTTTCGGTGAGTTATTTGCATTCGTATTTAATGGTAATGAAAATAATGTATACTCGGACTTCAAATAACTAAAATCTTAAAATTTTAGCAACACCGTATTTACAACGAACATAGAATTAAAATATATTCCGCAGGCCGCATAAAATTGCTTCGGGGTCCAACAGTTTCAAACCACTGTTATAAGATACATGAATAGGATTTAAATACTTACAGAAATTTACAATAATATCGACAATATAGCACAGCCTTGGCTAGCTTCTGTGTGTGTAATATATGATCGACTTTTGATTTCAAAAGTGATACGGTCGCGAAATTTATTCAAGGCAAAAGCAAGGATGCATCTGGTGCTTAGAAAAAAAAAAAAAAAAAAAAAACTCGGGCGCTTAAAAAAAATCAGTCTGCTAAATATAAAAAGATCACGATGACGATCCCCTCCTCTCAGCCTAGGCCTATAACTAGTATAGTAGAATATCATAGGCAGAAAAGTTTCGACTCCTCCCTTCGCACATCAGGGGGGTTTACATATAAAAACGCACAAGACAAGCACCACCCCTTCATCTTGGCCGTGAAGCATTCAGAAAATTTTCCTCCTTACATCAGACAGTTACAGGTAAGTGGAAAATATTTATTTAACATTTGCAAGAAACGCAAATTGTTATCACCATGGTTTTCTTAATCAAAACGACACCAAATTAGGTGTCGCTTAATGTGATAACGTTTGTCCGTGAGGCTATTCTAACATAAAACGAAAAAAAAAAAAAAAAAATATCCTGCAAAACAGCAATGGAAATTGAACTCCTTTAATAGAAATATAACTACGAACATACTATAAATTTTCACAACATTTTTATTAGGAAAAAAAGGTCATCGATAGTTGATTGTTTGGAACTGTTACGTAAAAGGTGACTTATTAATTGATCGCACTCAATAATGTTTCTGGAAATTATTTGACTAATGTTCTACCTCTAATCTTAATACTCACAGGGCACTTTTCACATCATCATAAATTTCTCACACAAAACTCATTTCTCATCAGCTTCAAACAGTTTGCGCTTGGATTTATTTCAGAAAGCGACAGGCAGATTTCTTCTGTCACTGATGCTGCAACTCTTGGAGACGTTTTCAGTTATTTATTTCATCATTTATTAAAAGGCTGGCATGCTTAAAACAGTTCTTAATTACATTTTCTGAGAGGCAGTTCTAAAACTTAAATGTTACCTTAAACCAAAATCAAGACGGTATGCGACTTAATGCCTTACTTAAGGACATGCATCTATCATTTGGGAATTTCTATAATCTATTTCGATCTTATCTGACGACAATACTTCAGTTTAAAAAAAAAATCATTCTATATTTTGATAACATTAATTGTATCGTTCGTCCCAACAAGCGATGTATTTTCATGTTTTCGTATGCAAATGGGTGGGACTTCGATAATAAAAATACAATATCCGAATTATAATATTACTAGCGATCATGATTTTCGGTTTTAGTTAACTACGACAAAGTACACTAGGGCTATCTGCCTAAAGAGAAGAATGCCTACGTGGAGGTCTTTCTCTGGGAAACTTGCTCGTAACACGTTACACACGAAAAAAAACCACGAAAGCACCCACGTAACTAGCCTATTCGGCCTAGAACTGAACACAGGTCAGAACTACCAATGTTCAGCGATTTTTACCGCTCGGCAGCTGGTAGGCTAACCGCGATCACATTAAGCAGTGTATTTAATCTATTTGGGCACTTTTGAAATGTGAATATGACTTAAATTTGGGAATTCGCTATAAATTGAACTTCAAACAATATAATAGAACTTCAACCAACATCAGATCGCTGTATCCGGTGGTTCACGGCATCCGATCGTATGATAAAAATGGATTATCCCAGAAAAAAAAATATAAAAAATTACTAATGTATTGTAACTAATATAAGTGTGTACGTATGTTTCTCGTATTGTGACTAGTATACGTGTGCACGTATATTCCTCGTATTGTGGGAAAACGATGGCATCTAGAATCACCAAATTTTAAACATAATTCTCCGTCCAAACATATACTCCTTTACACAAGAATAAACAGTATTTTGAAGTTCCGGAGAACGGGCCACTCAATGGCATTGGAAACACACAAGCGTTAAAAGCGTTATTTGAAAACTGATACACCGAAAATATGATTCGACGCATAAGTGGGGAAAACTTATAAGCTATGTACGTTAATGTGCGAAAAGCAAACATTCGACAACAGTATATTTTTTAGCGTTATATGCGTCCAAGCACTAGAGGTATTATCTGAAAAGAGATACGCCGAAAAATCGAAGCGAAGTTAGAAATATTACACTAGTTACTTAAATAGTGATAGACCACAAAAATTCGGATAAATTTATAAGCCATTAGCGATATACGTTAACATCCATAAAGCAAACATTCGACAGCATAATATTATTGATTTTTATAAACATCCAAGCGTTATTCGAATAGTGATACACTGCGAAAGTGAGGGTAAATTATTTGCGTTATAAATCATACATATTATCGACCAAAAAGTTTCGACGACATACATCTGAGCATTCTAAAAATAACCATTATGATATTTTTAACTGTAATAAGCCTCGATGTTTTATTTGAAAAATGATTCGTTATGTTATTATAAATACGTTATTTGTATAATATATGTATATCATTTTGAGGCGCAAACGTTTTATATATTTTGTGCCACTTTGAAGCGGAAGAATACATTATTTATGTCGCCCAAAATGATGTTAATTGCTACCAGAGAAGAATACTAGCAGTGCATGGATGCTTTCTTTGGGGTCATTGTTCGTGATTCTTAACTGAAATTATAATGCTCTGATGATGTTTAATATTGTAGTAAAAATTGTAAATCGGAAGATTTTCAATTTTTAAATCAGTATGCAATGTGCTATTCTTCATAAACCAAGTACCTGAAGAATTTAAATTTTACAGAGATTTGTTCTCGTAATACGTCTCCGTAGGGAAGAAGCAGTAAAGCTGGACAGATTATTATTTGATATAATACTACCTGTACCCAATAGTAATAGTAGCAAGTGAATATTTAAACGGGAATTCAGCTGTAAGTTATGTCGCAGGGCAAAATTGCGAAGCTTTCAATCAAAATCAATGTTACATAGCATATGTCATTTGTTTTGACAGATCTTTAAATTCTTAGGTTAACCTAATTATTAAGAATTATATTTTCTTTTTCTAATTTCATCCACTGACTGAAATCAATTGTTTTATTTCAGTTGAATATCATCCCATTCTAAAAGTAAGATCGGGGAAAAAAAAAATCAAGCAAAGATCGAGTTGCGATTGTCGAGTTCTTGATGCAAAACGAAAAGTTGCAAAAGCAACTGCATTAATTGCAAAACTACTGGAAGTACAACAGAATGACCATATCAAAAATTTTGAAATGTGCTTCGTTAAAGGTGACTCTTATGTTGATTTTTTTAAAAGAAAAAAAAAAAAAAAAAACCTCTGCCCGTAACTGCAAAGATTATGCAGAAAAACGTTTGACATATTCCTCTTAGCAGAAAAGTCACCACAGACAGTGGCGTAGCGAGGGGTGGGGGGGGCAAGGGGTGAGATTACTGAGGAAACCCACATCCACCTGATCACAAAGTGATCTTATGATTAAAAAGGGGCGCCTCTTTCACGCCATAAACGAGGACAGCCAGCCACCCGGCGAGTCCCCCAAGTAAAAGAAAACGCCACATTAAATCTAGCAATATTCGAAGAGATCTATATTAATTACATTAAGATTTAATAATAAATAGATTTAAGCCCCGGGAAACAAAGCCCGGAATTCCGAGTAACTAAAAAGTTAGTATAAAATAACCAAGGAAACATAAAAATATACATCCAGCAAAGTTGGCATGATCAGTAAAAACTATCATATTATAATATCGTAAGTAGATGGGGGCAAGGGGGTGTATAATGCCCCGAGCGCCGCTCGCAGAGGGGCACCAAGTGGTCTCCAAACAAGATTTTTCTCAAAATTTCTGTTTTTATTTTGATCGATTTTTAGGAAATATATTTAAAATTAATAATTAGTCTAAAGGGGCTTTGTCCCTGAAGGACTATTGTTTTCGTTTTCCGATTTTGCGTTGAATCACTATAAATGTCCGTCTCACTTTTCAAACTGTTGGCACCAAATGTTAGAGTCCTGCATTATTTTTGAAGAAATTAAATAATGAAAAATCCGCATAAATGTATGTATATTCCTCCATTGTGATAAAACAACGGTACATAGAGCCATCACGTTTTGAATGGCTTAATCCTCCTACGAATATGGGCATGTGGAAGACCAAATATGAAATTTGGAATTTGTTTTATTATCAATTTCATATTTTGTAAAACTTTAACGAATTTCTGATTAACAAACTCAAGGATTTCAAAGCGAGCCAATGGCAACACTCTACGAGGGGGTGACTCTTTTATCTCCAGCGCGCGGAACTGTGTATCAGAAATTCTAAAGATATGCTCTTTTTAAAATTATTTTACGACATTGCTATTGAACTGAATTTTATGGTTTAAGTGCAAAGAACATGATATTTAATAAATAAAAGTAACACACAAAATGTTAAAAAAACACCCCTTTGGACGTAATATAAAATATGAATTCTTTCAGGTTTTTTTTTAAATTTTTTAATGTAATATAATTATTTTCTTGATTTGTCTGATAAAATGTGTAATAAAATGTTTGCAATACATCAACCAAGTATCTCGCATACAGAACGTTATTTCGGCCCACTTTATTTCTCTAAAATAAGAGATATATTTTTATTTTTTTCATTTATTTTAAAACGATAACACGACTCTGCCCCGAATTTCTCAAACATATCCATTTTCCCAAAACCGATTCCATAGTCTGGAAATGGCATTTGGAGAAAGTCCTAAGGCTTCCGCTTTCAATGGATTGCATTTGACTCTCCTGTAGACGACTGATGGCCTTCCTGACTATTTAAGTGATTAAGTATTAAGTACTATTAAGTATTAAGTATTAAGTTCCTGACTATTAAGTCATCTTGCTGAGACGTCGTATATTCACTGCTACGGAAGTAGTAAACGAGTGTCAATTTTTTTAATCTCCTACTACAAAAAAGGAATGCTGCAGGTTGCTTTTTATTCTTTATCTAAAAGTTTTCGACGTCACAGACTATATTTGCATATTCCCAACTTTGTAAACGTTATAATTTTCCTTTATAATCTATCTGTTCTATTTCCTTTAGTTAAAAAAGTCGATTATATGGTTATTTCATACTGAACTCACAATATCCCCTTATTGTTTTGAGCAGTGAATGTGACTGCAAGATGTTACTCCGCAGTAGAAAAGAAACTGGATCTAAAAACTCCATTATAGATCTATGGAGAAAATGTTTTTCCAAACCTAAAAGTCGCACTTCAAATACTCCTTACTATTCCTTATCAAATACTAGCTATGAACGTTCATTCAGCAAATTAAAATAAATTTTGACATATTTACAATCAACGATGGGACAGATCCCCTAAGTCATCTAACATTTTTAAATGTGGAAAGAGAAAAATTTGAAATGATCGACTTTGATGAACTAATTGATAAATTTGTTTCATTC